GAATTTTTATAGAGAGATAATGCGAATGGAAACACCATCCGCAAATACCAGAGGAAACACAACAGTGACTTTATTTATGTATTAATGTATTTTCTTTTTTGTTTTCGTTAAAGGAAGTGAAGTGGATGGTAAATCTGCAAATCTACATTTCTACACTAATAAGTGTGCAACTGGCTCAAATTAAAATATATAAATAAATAATATTAATCATTTTCATCACATATTTATCGAACGGGATCCCCCACCTTTAGGTGTCTAGCTATGTCCATGCGTGAGATAGTCTTACAGCCTATAATTGTGTATTATAATTAATTGCAAGTACAATAATAATTAAATGCAAGTGTTGAATTGATAATAATTGAATCGTTTCATTTATTAACTATCAATAATATACTTCAATTAAATTCCATTAAGCAAAGTACAAATTTTTCCATTTCGAACTATAATTAATACTGCTAGCAAAACACTAACAATTTTTCACAGATACACTATGATTAACAAACTTTAATTTAATAAAATTAATATATGCTTACATTGGCATTTATTAGTTAACAACATTGATGGTATTTATCAAGGAATCGACTATTTTGTTTAGCTGATTTTAAACTGTCGTTTTACTGTACTTCTGTACTGAATTTTATCATGCATACTCTCAACATTCTTCAAAAATGGTTATTTCATATACTGGCCATTGTAGAAGGTGTAGCGATGAGGAGACAGATGATGCGAATATAGGGAGTAACTATGATATGTTACTATCAGCTGGAAGGTGTGTATCTCATATATTTCTCCATTTATTACAGTTTCTCCCACCTCAAATGGTACAATGAGGGCTTATATGTTAATTGTACTCGATCTTCCAATGGGATCCTGTGGTATCACAATGCTCCAATTTGATCTAAACGTGTTGGCTTCCAAAAACATGGAAATCACTTTTAATTCATTTATTGAATTAAAAAACAACACCATTCTACATGTTATAAATCTTTGATTATGTTTTGCAAACTAATATAAATAAACCAAAGACTGTTATTATGAAGACTCATTAAAAAATGTTGAATTCTTTAGTAGGGTTTCAACCATCCTTAATCAACATAGAAGGTAACAATAATATTGAAAAAGTTTATTATTAGTAGCAAAAAAGTTATTTACAATACTGCGTTATAATCATAATAAATTATGAAACTATGATAATTATCATTTAATATTAATTAAGTCGAGCCCAATATATCGACTTACTCTCTTTCTCCATCTATCTCTGCCTCTCTTCCTCTTGATTGCGATGGTCATTATGTTCGATTCTTTGCTGCTATAATGTTGTTTTTAAGGGAGCAGGGTTCAGTCTCTGCAGTCATAAAAATATCGAATTGAAATTTTCAGTTCTCTTTACAACGTTTTATTGTAAAGGCCTAGGCTTTCGTCATCTATTAGATTTATATATTTTTAATAATTATTTGTCGGTTGTCACCATTTATATAAATTATGAATATATATGTATGTTTTTCTAAATGTTTTATTCAATTATTAATTTTATTATAATATCTAAAATAAGTACTTGAAGTATACCAATAATATTTTTTTATAACGGCAAAATTTGTTTTGACCTTCTGTAATCATTTAACTTTTTATTTATCTGTTAATTAAAAACCGCGTCTATTGCATATCTAACCAATTATAGATCTACTATTTATAAATAATTACATTTTTTAACATTGTTTTTATTGTCGTTAACACTTATTAAGTAATTATGATTCAATTGAATGGAATCAGCGAGGTAGAACAATATAAAATACACATACATATACCTTATATAGAATAACATATGTTAATAATTAGTATTTTAATATGAATAGTATATAAGTAGCATTTACTTTTATTTATTTTGCAATCTTTTTATACTAACAAAATAACGACGCATGTCCCTTAAAATTCAATTCAAATTAAATTAAATATATTTGTGATCAATTATAACCATATTAATTAAGAAGGTCTTGTTAATATAATTGTAAACAAGTCATATTATTTATTTCTAAATTATTATTTTTATTTATAATTACATGAAAACAAATATATAATAGACACAGTCTGTAAAAAATTTTGAAGTAGTTAGCAACGAAATTACATTCATCATGATGATTTGCAGATTTCATTAGCATTTGTTAAAAAATTAGATATTAAGTATCGATTGTAAATATTGATACAGCGCCAATCTTATTGACAGCCCTCATTTCAAATTCAAATAATTTACTTTAAATTAATACTTTAGCATTTGTTATTAATTGTAATAGATTTTCCTTTTCTTAATCCCTTTTATGTTAAGATAAGTGCGACAATCGTAGATCTGTAATAGAAGTACTACTAATTCATTTTTAAGCTTATAAATATTTAAATTTTCGATTCGTATAAGGTCACTATTGAAGAAGTTAAAATTGCAGAAAACAACATCGCTCAGTTATATCTTCGTTCTAAAAAAATATTGCACTTTGAGGTTTTTGTCTCAACCTCCCTTTGGAAAGCACCTCTCCTGCTTCTTCGTGGAAAATTTAAGAGATTTGCAATATTCTATATACATATACCAACACCACATTATCGAATCTCAGAATGGTTACAGGCTCCTCAGGAATGTATACAGATCTGAGGTTACTTATTGCTTAGTCTGATAAGTGATAAAGAATAATGCAGTCAAGGCATAGAGAGGGGTTAAAAAGAAACTTCGCAGTTAATAGAGAGTAAAAGTGCTCAAGTGCACCGATTTAACTAGCCTCAACATATATATGTAAAAGAATAATGGTTTGATCTTTAATGTCGGTTTATTCATAACTTTTTGTTCTTGTTCCACTGATATTGATTAGCACTCCTTAAAACGGCAGTATATGTAGAGCTCAGATTTCGTCCGTAAGCTGACTTAATTAACAAAGAAAATATGTTCCTTTTAAAAGTTTTTGTGTTCTTATCTCGTTTATTACAAATTCTTCTTCCCAAACACATATCTTAAACATTGGCTATCGTCCTAGTCTGTCTTGTTTTTTTTTGAATTCTATATCATTTCAAAAATGTAACTTTTATAACATTTATAAAAGATTTTTATGTATTAATTGAAAATATAATTAGGCGATAAAAAAAGAAAATTATTTAGTTTTCGATTTTAACTAAAGATGAACGATTATGTAGATCCTATAGTTCATATATAGGAAATAAACCATTGATTTGATATTGGGCTGAAATATACAATACATGCATACAAAAAATTTACAATTTTCCTTAAAAATATTACTGAGCTACTTTATTTTACATTAATTCTTTTCATATTTTTCAACAGCGATATGAATACTATGTTTAAAAGGTCTAATACTGTTTGATATCTTATCTTGAAATCGTATTTGATACAAAAGTCATTATCTGTGATTTAGTTTTATACAATAAAATAACAAAAATGTTTCCACTTAATGTACATTTATTTACCAATAAAACGTTAAATTGATTGAAAATAAAAATCGATGACGTCATGAAAACTATCTTGTCTATTTTTACGCTCTTAAAAAACCATTTATAGTACTTCAAAACTGTGTATGTTTATTAAAGGTTTTAAGTACCACTTGACTTGGTCTATACTCGTAGACAAATTCGGTAACTAATTAAAATGTGTTATAAACTAATTACAAATAATAAAAACTATGACTCAAATTCAAATATATTTGAGATTAAAATATGAACAAATTATGTACGGAACAATCTACAATTATAATACCTTACACTCCGCTAAACCTTAAAACCGGAATGCTCTATTAAATATAATTCGTTCTTTTTCTAAATAATAACAAAATATGTATCTAAAGTAAGAACAAAAACCGACCGTGAACTATTCTTTGAAAAATATCTAATAATGTATGTATTTATATGACGTAATGAAACAAACTTCAATAAAATAACAGAAATTAATTTATTATGTATGTAGAGTGTTTAAATGTTTAATATATGTGAACTCATTTTTATTTGATGTGATGAAAAATTCGAACGACCTTAACCGATAACAAATAATAGATTACGTTTCTGTTCCCACATAAATAATATACAAATACATTGTAATAAAAATACTCCAGAATATATGACAGCGACGATATAGTGATCAGATTATTATCAATCTTAGGTTATATCAGATTACTGAAGAAAGTAAAATTGTGCCTTTAAAAGTGATTAATAGCTTTAAAGAATATAGATCTTAAATTATACTTTGGAACTATGATTACTGTATATATATATATATAAGTAGAACTGATACCGTAGAAAATAAGGGTTGAAATTCACAAAAAAATCTTTGTTCTTCTCGTGGTTGTAAATCGGTGCTTGAACAATTGTCTTTAAAAGAGAAGAATAACGGATCGCTGCAGAAAATAGAGTTTATTGAATTTAAATATAGAAAGCTTATGAGGTGCTATTATAATGACAACTAAATTAATATTTCACAGTAACAAAAGAATTTAAAATAGATACCTGTATTTATGTTTTGAATTTCAATTGATGAATAAAACGAATTTACTAATACTACTTAAAGTGTAGTATGGTTAAAAAAAAAACCTTCATTATTTTGATTTTTTTGATAATGAATTGTTGAATGATATTTTTAAAAATTTATATATATTATAATTTCCAAAAAAAAGAACAAATAATACGACAGATTAGATAGATTACTTGTGAATAGTAGTAGAATCTCTTCAATAAGTTGATACCATGTAATTTTTTAAGTGATTTATTTATTTATATATTATTAATTGTCGTTTAACATTTTTAAAATATTAAAATATACAAAGAAGCATCCTAAAAAAAGCATTTTATAAAAATATATTTTTTAATTTAATTAATAAATTAAAAAGCTTTAGTTAGGTAAATAAAAATCCTAACAACCAAAAAATTTGAAATGTATATAAATAGTCCCTACTTTATTAAATAGTTAATAGCATGTTTACAATATATATCCAAATTAATATATTAAAATTTTGAAATAAAAATTATATAATATGTATACAAATTTTTTATTGAATTCTTGGCACCAGTTTAAGCCAGAAACCAGACTTAGGTATAAGTTGGAATGTGGCAGCTGACAGTTCCATTGGAATTGTAGTTTTTGAGGTTTGCTTAATGGAGAAATCACGTACTAAAAAATAAATCAAGGCCTTTGCTTCTAGTTGCGCAAAACGGGAGGCTGATAATCAAAAAATAAAAATATTTAAAAATATAAATATTTAAAATTGAAATATATTTTTATATTTACCAATACAAATTCGTGGTCCTGATCCGAATGGCAAATATGTGAATGGCTTAATGTTGTCTTTGTTTTCTTCACTGAATCGTTCTGGATCGAACTTTTCTGGATTCTCATAATATCTTGGATCACGATGTATGCCAGCAATTGGTATCCAAATACTTTCACCTTTTTTAATTTCAATTTTTTCATTATCATCTTCATAAACGAAATCCTTATTACATTCACGACCAATAGTCGCAGCTGCTGGCCATTTTCTTAATACTTCTGATACAACCATGTCCAAGTATTTCATACCTTGTAACTGTTCATATGTTGGAGCTTTGCTTTTAATATCTCTTGTAAGATTTTGAATTTCTTCATAAAGTTTTGCTTGTGTTTCTGGATTTTCCATAAGTTCATGTAATGCAAAGCACACTAACACAGATGCAGTTTCGAAGCCCGCAAAAAAGAACAAGAAACACTGACCTACTATATCGATATCAGTCCACTCTCGATTGGGTTTTGGATGTTCAGATTTGATTAGACCACGTGCCTCCATAAGTATATTAATCATATCAGGTCGTGATATTTTGTGATCTACACGATATTTCATGGTATCAAGTACTAGATTCATAAAGTAATCGGAATATTTTTTATCGAATAGTTCAACTTTAAGTAACTGTGAACAAGATAAAATAATTTAATAAAAATATTTTTAATAAATTTTGGTTTTAGTGCAAATGTACCTTCATAATTGTCTTAAAATTGCCAAATAAAAAGAACTTGATATTTTGCCAGGCAGTAAAGCGAGTCACTTTCTTACCCATTACGAAAAATTCGTTATTTCTATCTTCCAGCGAATTCACTTGCAAACCAAATGCCGCAGAAGCTATAACATCACTGGTAAAACAAACACAATAATCTTTGAACTCAATTTCGATGCCATCATTGGGATTGGAATTAGTTTCTTTCTTGAGATGATTTGCTGTATCTTCAGCGACTTGATTTATTAATTGATACATTTGACGCATTTTACTGCCTGTGAATGCTGGACTTAGTGTACTTCGCATGTCCTTCCATTTAGCATCTCGCATGGAAAAAAGTGAACTGGCGAAAAGGTTTCCATCATCATTGTTGAAGATTGAACGATGGTTGACGAAATGATCAAATTCTTTGACAGTCACATGTCTTATTAATTCTGGATCACGTATCATTAAGATTGGTGTACGTTGCTCAAATACTCCATAAACTCTGAAAATATTATATATGTATTTATAATTATTATATGTATAATTAAAGTGACTTTCATAGTTGATTGTACTTTTCTAAACAAAAAATATATGATGTACTTTCTTCAAGTATTTTCATTAGATGATCTAATTGATATGCTAGATATAGCAGAAGAAAAATTAAAGGAACACCA